ATAAGATGCATCGCATCACACTGACATGGGTGTCATCAGTCTGCCACTCTTCTGCACCCTCATCTAGTAACTCTAAGGGTTCTTCATCTAAAGGATCAACTTCTTGGTTAACATCCTATTTGTCAAGTGAATTCCCTAATCCCTGGTCAATGGTCAAGGTACACTGAGGGCACTGTGAAGCAATATGACCCTTGCCATGACAATGGTGACACTCTATGGAAGAACTGTCCTGGCGAGAACCTGTGAGTGTAGAATCTCGACCCCTAGTGGTATTACCTCTCAAGTTGGGGTAATTGTTACCCCTGGATATAACAGGGCCTGACTGGGTGACGCCTCGAGACCGATCAAATGGGACTAACCTTGATGGTGGAGATTCTCCGGTTTGAGAAGGCATTCGACGCTGAAAGGGTGGCCTAAGGTATTGTTCAATCTCTACGACTTTATAATATGCTTCCTCAACCGTTTCAGGAGAGTGTAATTTAAGCGCTCTCTTAATCTCAGGTCGTAGGCCATTAATGAATTTTGTAACTGTTATCCAAAGCTCTTCTTTTATGTCACATCTCAGAAAAAACTCTTCAAATCGAGCTAGATAATCAGTCACACTCGAGGTCAATTGACACAAGTTCATCCACTTGTCCAAGAGTTGGCGCTTATAGTAACTAGGGAGATATTTATCTCGCAATCTTTGTTTCATCTCAGCTCATAAAGTAATTGGTTGTCCTTCTAAGCGTTCTTGGTCTTGTTGGACTCCTTGCCAATATCTCTTAACCGAACCAATGAGTTTCATTTTGGCAAAACGATCCCGATGGTTGTCGGACATATCATACCAATCAAAATAGTCATCCATGTCATCCAACCAATCTAAGAAAGTAACAGGATCTAACCTACCATGAAAGGTAGGAGCGTCCACTTTGACTCTTTGTGTAATATCCCTAGATTCTTCGTGGACATGCTTATGTCGAGGATTATGGTAACGCGGAGGGGGAGACCTATGGTATCTGGCATGTGGTTGGAAGGGCTCACTATAACCATCCATATAACCCTCTGCTGAATAGTCAGACATGACTGCCTCAGCGGGATCATCCTGAACATTCCTATGACCTACATTTCATCCGAAAGCGGTATTAGGAGGTGTCTTCCTATCTGGACACTGTACTCGGCTCCCCTAAGCTACGTACGGAGTGGGTAGGATACCTTGACATGAGTNTCACGATAACCATCCATATCACCCTCTGCTGAATAGTTAGACATGACTACTTCAGCGGGATCCTCCTGAACATTCCTATGACCTACGTTTCGTCCAAAAGGGTTATTAGGAGGTGTCTTCCTATCTGGACGCTGTATTCGGCTCCCCTAAGCTATTTGCGGAGTGGGTAGGACACCTTGACATGAGTCAGTAGGATCTATCGGGAGAGGCAGGTGCCAAACATTAGGTACTTGGTTAGACTTAGGCGAAACTTGTGACTCACTCTGGTCATAGTCTATTGGTCATTTTTCTATAAACTTAGTCAATTGGGCTAGTTGAGTAGTAACTTGAGAAAGTTGTTGCCTCATTCCTTTAACTTCCTCACGTAACAAGTCGATTGATTGTTTAGTATCGGTCATATCAATGGTGAGGGTCTCAAATTTTTGTTCTAATGCAGTATGGGATTCTGAAAGCTCACAAAAGGTCATAGTGAATGTAATGTAAAATTTGGGCTAATGTAAATGGCCGACTAGACTAAAAATTAAACCTAGTAATAAAAATTATAAATCAATGCAAATGGTCACACATAAGAACAAAATTATTGTAAAGAGACTCAAATAAACGTGAGACAAGCAACAATAGATTTAACAAGAAATTAGGTAAGCTAAGTTATGAAGGTGGTGTGTGGGAACAACAAACAAAGAAGGTTATGAAGGTGGTATGCGGGAACAACAAACAAAGAAA